CCACTTGGTAGCCCTGTACCCCTGAGCAAGTGACTTAATCTCTTACCTTTGTTTGCTCATCTGTGAAATGGGAATAGTTATAGCCCCTACCTCAAAGAGTTACCGGGATCAGTGAGGCAGGCACAAAAAGTGGTTGTCCCAGTGTTAGAGGAACAAGTCCATCCAAACAGCCAAGATGGTCCTGGTGCCAACTTCTCAGCCTGGCCCAGAAAAGCAGCTCCAGGGAAAGCCTGGATTTCCCAAGAAAGCCACCCTGTGGCAGTGCTGTCCACCCAGCCCTTGACAACTTCTTCTTGTCTAAGGCTTTCCCCGTTGTAGGGCTCCAGAGCACACTAGGCGCTGCCGGAAATGCAGCAGCCAACTCAGAAGCCCGACTCTGAAATGGCTTCTGCAGACTCTTCCCCGCCTCTGCTCTGTTGGCCGAGGCTCCTGGCACAGAGGGCTCAGAGCACAGACTTTGGGGGAATCTCAAAATGGTTCCCAAATAATGCACTATGAAAAAGTAACAGCAGTGTCCTCGTCCCCCTGGCAAAGGCAACTAGTTCCCTACTCCCTAGCCACATCCCACCCCCTACCCCACCCTATGATCTCATGATGTGACCACAACCCGCCTCCTCCATGAACTCTTCCTGGAGCCAACAACTCACCAATGGCAGAAGCACAAGAGCCCAAAGCATCAGGCATATTGAAGCCCCCAATGCCACTCCTCCAGGCAAATGTCTTACCCTGCTTCTCTGGCTCATGGCTATGTTCCCATCACTCATGGCCAGGCAGTAGCAATGCACAATGGCTGGCTGGATGGGAAGGCTAAATGGGTGGGTGATAGAGGGCTGGATGGATGGACAAATGATTCATTCAATGGTCTTATGAGAGTTGAACTAGAAGGGTTTGGGAACTGGCTCCAGACTCTCTGAGTGCCTTCTGATGGGGAATAATTCACAGCATCCTCATCCGAAAGGGGAGGGCAGTTGGAAATCTGGATATGCCGTCCCTGGCCTCCCGGCTGATGGCGAATCATTAGGGATAAACGATGCACAGTCCTTTCTCCAGGTTCTCTAAGGTGAGGGTGTCACCGCTCATCTCAGACGCCCATTTTGGGGTCCTACCACTTACATGATCAAGCAGCTCTTTCCAACATCCAACAAAACACACTCTTGTGCTAACCTGAAAGCTATTTCTACTTATTCAGTCAACACAGAGTAAGATGTAAGCTGCATCTCAGCCATTAAACAAACAAGCACTTTTATTCATACTGGTTGAAGAGCCAATCTTGATTCAAGTTAGGGTTTGGACCTAGCAGTTGACAACTAAATCCCAGTAGTAACATTTACTTCCAAGTGATCTTGAACAAGTAACCTAACCTTTCTGGACTTGGGTTTCCTCTACTGCCAAATACAGATACTATACCTTTTTCCTACATAAGGGGACCATATAGTTTGTTGCTCCATCAGGACAATATTGAGAGTGAAAAGGGGGTGCTATTAATAATTACGTAAGACCATGACCAGCCTCGCCAACATGGTGAAATCCTGTCTCTACTAAAAATACAAAAATTAGCTGGGTGTGGTGCCTGGGATTATAGGCACCTGTAATTCCAGCTACTCGGGAGGTTGAGACAGAAGAATTGCTTTAATCTGGGAGGTGGAGGTTGCAGTGCGCCGAGATCACACCACTGCACTCCAGCCTGGGCGACAAGAGTGAAACTCCATCTCAAAATAATAATAATAATTACATAAGACAACAGACCTGAATTGGGGCTAACCAGGATGTATGGTCCCCTACTCATAAGGCTATAAGCCAATGAGATAGAGTACAGCTGGGCACCCAATTTCACAACAAACAAATGACTACCATTATTATTAATACTACTGGTCATGGGATCAGCTGGGCCTTTTCCTTCATCTGGATCCCGCCCACATTCTGGATTACCAATTGCTTTGGATAATTCCCTACCAGTACACCACACATTTCAACAGCTTTAGTAGGAACACCTGCTGGCTAAGGTTGATGTTTTCATCTGTCTTCTGTCATGATGTTAGTTTCACAAACCTGATTCATGCTCAGGTCCACCAGACTCGCTCAAGCACAGCTCAGGCTTCTAGCTACCCAGAACCCTGACGTCAGGGGCCAGCTGGCAGTTCCAGATTCCCTGACTGCCTTGGCAGAAGCCCTCTTCTCTGGCCTCCTGCAGTGTTGGGATACTTCTTCTGGCGTGCACCCATAATTGGCCTTCATCTATGATCACAGACCAATGGGCAGTGCTGCCCAGAGGGCAGGTGGTGAGGGGTGGTTCTATAAGTCCCCCAGGCTGGACTACAACCTGGACTGAGATCCAGATTTAATTTGGAGGCTTCCCTGGAATTTGCAGGGCCAAGGACTGCAAAAGCACTCCTGTGGCCCTGCTGCCTAGAGGGTCAGAGAACAATCTCTTTTGGGTTTCCTGTCACTTTGGCACTTTGGTTTCTCTTTATTCACAGTATAGTATCTTTGGGGGTTATTTTGGGGTCTGTTAGTAGCTCTACTATTTAGTAATTTATGATTTGGGCAAATAATTCACAATCGTCAAATCTCAATGTTTTCCTTACCTGCAAATAGGGATAAATGTTGGCTTTGCTGTTAGCCTAAAAGCATCTTTGTGGGCATTAGAAAATTGCTGCAATACAAATATAAAAAATATAAAGGCTACGAATGTGAGCTGTGCCCCTTAGAATTGCACAGTGCACGACTGGGGCCACCATGAATGGTGGCCCTGAAATAACGGGCTGCCTTCCGAGGGCTGCTGGGAGGATTGAGACAATGTATATAAAATGCTTAAGCCATAGTGACAGTTAGTTGTTGTTATTATTTTTATTACTTGAACTTTTCTCATTCCTAACCTTTGTGGTGAACTCAAAAGAGTATCCCAGGTCGGCGGCTTCTGCTACAGGGCAGAGCACACAGCTCTATCTTATGAAAATGACAACTCTTCCCACAAAGCGGCTCCTTGCCTGGGCTGTAGCACCACAGTGGTGAGAGGGATGTGGACACATGGTGTGTGGCCCTACCACATCAAGCCAAGCAGGGACACTCAGAGGCAGCCCACCAGAGACTGGGTGGGACCCAAGCCCCAGAGAGGCTGCCTCCCAGTGTGCAAAGGCTGTCACGTGGCACAGTCACACCAGCCTCACTTGGGAGGGAAAACCCATGCATGATGGAAACTCCTCACAATACAATGTGGAAAAGCAATTTCAAGAATCGTTTTTATTTTAATTCTGAAGCCAAGGAAAACAGTTGGATTTGCTTTTCTTTGTTGGACACAGGAAAAAAGTGAGGAGCATCACTTTGATTGGAGTTGAGTTCTTCTCCAGTTCTAAGGTGGCTGGAACGCTGGGGGCGTGGGGGGGAGTTATTTCTCTTGAGATGCAATTAGTTGAATAAATATCAAGAGAGCAAAAGTAAACAAACTTATTACTGTCCATTAAGAACTGCCAAACTGGCAAAAAACTAATGGGGGGAGGGGAGAAACTGGGGTTGGAGTCTTAGATTCCAAGGAAAATAAATGACTCTGAGGCTCAAAGGGAAGCACAAAGAGCATGGCCCTTGGTTATCAGGCTGCCCTAAGTCCTAGGCTCAATCAGCTTTGGTTGTTATCTGCTGTGTCTTCCTGGGCAAGTCACTGAGCCTGTCCGGGTTTCAGTCTCCACTGATAAAACAGGGGCGAATAACAACCCACTGGATTACCTGGGACAATGTATGTCATGCACCTGGCACACTGCCCGTTCCTTCCCTTCCTTCCTGTAACCCAATCAGTTCCGAGTTACCCCACTAAGCCCAGACCCCACAGAGATATAACAGTAGAACTCAGAATCAAGGATCCTGTTTCGAGAGGTCCCACTGCTTGAAATGTGACCTCAAGTCAGCAACCCCCACACCTTTTTGAGCTTCAGTTTCCTCAGCCTAGAAATGGGCATAATATTAATAAATTCATTCCAAGTGCTGGAATGATTAAATGAGAGAATGCATATGTGAAGGGCCCTGAAGCCCTAAAGCCCTGTGCAAGTGTTAGCTGAGATGGTGTGAGTGCCTGGCACGCTGCCTGGCCCACGCTCAGCATCCTTACTGTTGTTGGTTTTGTTTCAGCTTCGTTGTTCTTGCTATCGTATTGCTAACACATTATTCGAATCTCTTGACTCTGATCTGCTTTCATGCTGCTCACCCAGTGTGCAAGGTGGGTTGGATCACCCCATTTCACAGAAGAGACTCAGCCTTTGAGGTCTCAAGTTCAATGGCAAGAACTCTGCCAGGGAGCTGTGAGAGCCCATGTTTGGGAGAGGACAGAATGCAACCGTAAACAGTGCAGCCCTCTCAAACCTGGAGGTCCAAGGAGGCTTGGAAACCAACCTTGTCTTGCAGCCAGGTTGCCTCCCTGGGCCTCTGGCAGTTTCTTGGCCACAGTGGAGGCCTGCACCCACATGGGCACAGAGAGGTGTTTGTCACTCACTGCCTCAGGTGAGCAGCCTGAAGAAGGTGGTGGCCCAGCAGGCCTGCCCTAGCCCAGGGTCAGGGGCGGCTCCTCCCCATTGTTTTGGGGTGGGTGTGGCCACCAGCACTGTGGCAGCCAAAGCCCCGTTGGAAACCAGGCAAACACTTCCAAACTTAGCTGGGTTTCCACTGATGTCACTGCAGCCCCACCTCCTAGCAGAGCCCAAGCCAGAAGCTCCTGCACACCTTTCTCTGCCTGGCCAGAGAGGCCTGAGTAGGCCATAGGAACAATGCTTGGGCTTTGTCATTTAAGTGGAAAACAGCTCAGCAAGGCCCCAGGAAGCACAGGGTCTCTCTTGTAACTGCTCACTGGCTGGTACAAGGTGGAGCCCAGACCCAGGGTCCTCACTGGAGAAGCCCACAAAGGAGTTCAGGGAGGACAAAATCTTGAGGTCCTGTGTCATACTTGTTATCGTAGCACAGATTAATGTGAAATCAGAAAGTAGTGATGCTAATATCCTTTTACTAGTAAAAACCAGATTAAATACATGTCTGTGTAGTCATTAAGAGTTAGCAGGTTTGAATCCATCAGACCAGGGTTGAGCCTTGGTTCTGCTACCTTCTAGCTTTCTGATTTTGGGCAAGTCACTCAGCCTCATTGAGTGTCAGTTTCCTCATCTGTAAAATGTAAACAGCAACAGTATCTACCTTAAAAGGGCATTATAAGAATATGGGAAAGCGGAAAACACTTGCAAAATGTTTAGTACAGGGTCAGGTATATAGTGGACCTTGGTCAATGGATGTTATTAATAAATACATACATGGATCCTCCTTGCATAGCTCTGACCTCCTCAGGCAGTCACTTGTCCATGGGCTTCCTGCCCCAATCTATCCCTCTTTCCAGTACTCCCAACTGCTCAGCAGCTCTTGGCAGGTATGTCTTGTCATTCCATCATTAAATATTTATTGAGCTCCTGTGTATTTCAGGCCATGTGGTAGGCACTGCAAAGGAGTGGTAACCAACAGAAACACACCCCTACCCTCATGGAGCTTGCATTCAAGGGAATGGGCAGGACACAGTGTGTATCTGATAGTGATAAGGACACTGGAGGGGGAAGGTGGTGAGGTCACGATCTTAAATAAGCAGGGAGGGTCTCACTGAGAAGGTGATATTTCAGCAAAGCCTGAAAGAGGTGAGGCAACAAACAATGAAGAAGGGGGCAGGACCAGCAAGTATAAAGGCCTTGAGTCCTAAGTGTGCTTAGAACACTTGAGGGATAACCAGAAGACCAACCAGGTGGCTGGAGGAGGTGATCAAGGGGGAGAGGAGTCAGAGACAAGACCAGGGAAGAAGTGAGGCCAGATCATAGAGTGCCTTGGAGACCCACTGGCTTTTCCTCCAAGATGGTGAGCCACTGGGGGGTTTTTGAAAAGAAAAGTGACCCTGTTGGACTTTTTAAAAAAGACCACTCTGGCTGCCAAGCTGAGGACAGAAGGTAGGATGGGCAAGGCCAGGGAAGGGAGGCTAGTTAGGAAATTACTGCAATAGTCCAGGTGAATGGCGCAGGTGGGTTGCACCAGGGTGGTGGCAGGGAGGTGGGGAGACACAGGACTCTGAGAATACTTCTGGCATCATAATTTGGCAGTGAATTAGATGTGGGGTATAAAAGAAAGTAAGGTATCTAGGATGACTTCAAGGCTTTTGGCCTGAGCAACTAGAGTAGACATTTACTAACACAGGAAAAACTGGGATGAACAGGTTAGGTTGGAGGTGTGGGGAAAAATAGGAGTTCATTTCTGGATGAGTTGAGATACCTGGCAGACAGTCAAGTGGAAATGTCAAAGAAGCAGCTATATGTATGGGTCTAGAGTCTAGGGGAGAGTTCCAGGCTGGAGAAATAAACATGAATAAATATAACAAGTACTTGAAGGTGATCACCAAGGTGACCTCTGGATGAGATCACTAAAGTAAACAAAATTATGAGGACTGATTTTTGGGCCCCCCTCAACAGTAAGAGAAAGGACAGGAATATGAGGATGAACCAGCGCAGGATCTGAGTAGGAGCAGCTGGCAAAACAGGAGGCAGGGTGGCGTTCTGGAAAGGAAGGTCAAGAAGGGAGCCCAACTGTGTCCCACAGTGTGAGAGGGAAAACATTAATGAGAATCAAGAACTAGCCCTTCCATCTGGCAAAGGGAGGCCACTGGTGATCCTGTCTAGAGCACCTAGAATTAAGGGAAGGGGGCAAAGCCTGATGAGGGTGGGCTCAAGAAAGGCCAGGAAGAGAGGAACTTTCTGGAAATGGTGAGTGCAGGCAAATCTTTGGAGGCTTTGCTAAAAAGGGGAGCAGAGAAGTACAACAATAGCTGGACAGGGGGTGTAAGGTCAAGAGAGAGTTTTCTTTAAGCAGAGAGAATTAACAGTATGACTGTAGAAAAACAACGATGATGTTGGAGAGATGGTGAGGACTGCTAGAGCAAGGTCCTAGGGTGGGCAAGTAGAGGGATCTAGCATATGTCCTCCCTTCCCTCTTGGCCCATTTAACTCCTACTCATTCCTCAAGGGTCAGTGTAAAGGGCACTTTCTCAGGGAAGCATTCTTGACCCCTCCAATTAGGTCAATTCCCTGTAATACCCTTTTGCAGCATGTGATAGTTGTGCTTCCCAGCATTTGGGAAAGCCATAATGATGCGAAAGCCCCATGAGGGCAGGGGCTGGCTCCATCCTGTTAGTAGCTATATTTCTAGCAGCTAGCATGCTGCTCAGCACATCACAGATGTTCAATGAACATCTGGTGAAGGGATGAATGGTCCAAGAATAGAAGTGAAGCAAAGCTGGGGACACACATCTGTGTTCTATTCCCTTCTAACTTAACCACATTGCAGTGGTTGGGACTGTGCTGTCACTGGCTACTGCAAATATCTAGATCCAGAAGAGCTCAGTTGTTTGTTCCTGTTTGGGCTCTGTAGCTTAGCTAACACAGGGACCAGAGCCACATAACTGGACACATCCTTCTATTGACATTGTTTATCAGGCTGCCCTGTTAAACAATGTCAACGGAATGAATGTCTAATAATTCATTCACTTATCAAATATTTGCCCAAAGTGCAACATCCTGGGAATACAGGGTTGAATCAGACACAGGACCTGCCCTCATGGAGTTAGAATCTAGGAGAGAAGATCAAACAGAACTTCTATTCATAACAGCTGTGATAGATATTATAACGGGAAAGTTCAGGGGATGTGAAAGTACAAAATGGGGAGACTTAACAGTCTGAGGAGCCTAAGGTAGCAGAGGAGGGAGATCAGAAAACCCTCCCTCTGCCTCCCTTCCCCAGCTTGAAGCTGCCTGGATATGATTCTCAGGCTCTTGGGTCTGCAGGCATTGGAGTTGGCTTTGGGAGTAGCAGGGCCATGGCCTCTTATCTTCAGATGCCCTGCGGCCCTCCCTCTTCCCTTCTATCCCTGCTGGGGCCTGCCTGTCTCCTCTTGCTTCCAGAATGGCTGCCTGTTCTCTGACTCCAAGAGAATATAACTCAGCATCCTGGAGCTGAGTTTTTGGAAAGCTCTGCCTGCCTGGCGAAAAGGCTGGGATCACGTGGCAGCACAGGGCACTGACAGTGGTGGGACCATCACTGATTCTCCCCTCTGTTTACTTTCAGGCTTTCATAGATTCCATTCACAAAGAATAACCACCATTTTGCAAGGACCATGAGGCCACTGTGTGTGACATGCTGGTGGCTCGGACTGCTGGCTGCCACGGGAGCTGCTGCAGGCCAGGAGGATGGTTTTGAGGGCACTGAGGAGGGCTCGCCAAGAGAGTTCATTTACCTAAACAGGTACAAGAGGGCAGGAGAGTCCCAGGACAAGTGCACCTACACCTTCATTGTGCCCCAGCAGCGGGTCACAGGCGCCATCTGCGTCAACTCCAAGGAGCCTGAGGTGCTTCTGGAGAACCGAGTGCACAAGCAAGAGCTAGAGCTGCTCAACAATGAGCTGCTCAAGCAGAAGAGGCAGATCGAGACACTGCAGCAGCTGGTGGAGGTGGACGGCGGCATTGTGAGTGAGGTGAAGCTGCTGCGCAAGGAGAGCCGCAACATGAACTCTCGGGTCACGCAGCTCTACATGCAGCTCCTGCACGAGATCATCCGCAAGCGGGACAATGCGCTGGAGCTCTCCCAGCTGGAGAACAGGATCCTGAACCAGACGGCCGACATGCTGCAGCTGGCCAGCAAGTACAAGGACCTGGAGCACAAGTACCAGCACCTGGCCACGCTGGCCCACAACCAATCAGAGATCATTGCGCAGCTTGAGGAGCACTGCCAGAGGGTGCCCGCGGCCAGGCCCATCCCCCAGCCACCCCCCGCTGCCCCACCCCGGGTCTATCAGCCACCCACCTACAACCGCATCATCAACCAGATCTCTACCAACGAGATCCAGAGTGACCAGAACCTGAAGGTGCTGCCACCCCCTCTGCCCACTATGCCCACTCTCACCAGCCTCCCATCCTCCACAGACAAGCCATCAGGTAAGTCCTTCTGGGATCGTGTTCCATGTGGGTCTCAGAGCCAGGCACCAAGCTTCCCTTGGCTGTGACCACAAACAGGGAAAAGCCATGGCCAGATGAAGCCAGGCCAAAGACATGCACAATCCCCCAGCAATCCCTTGGGCCAAGCTGCTGGAACCAGAGGGGTAAGTTGGGGGGGGGACCACATTCCTTAGATGAATCCTCAAAGGTATTACCAGGAAATGGAGTTTCAAAAGACGGCAAACACTCTTTCGTTTCTGATTGGAAAGAACTCAAGGCCTGTAGTTTTCCAGGCTCTGCACGAGATCCTGTGTGTTGGCAGACAGAAGAGAATGTCTCTTCTGTAGCTCCTGCACTGTGCCTGGCACAGGGCTGGCCTTCTGTAAATGCTCACCAAATAAACAATGAGCCTAAAGAAAAGAAAGTATTACCCATGTTAAGAATACAATAAACACATCGTAGGGGCTGGGCATAGGAAGGTGTCCTTCCTAAAGCCCACACATTTCCTAGAGTCTGCTGCTGTCTAGAATTTTCAATGATGCTTCCATATGCTCTTACATACACGTTTCATCTTAAAATATAGCAATTCTCAGAATACCATTATGGGGGAGGAATGGGGTTGCTGGCAGGTTTTAAAGCTTAATGAAGATACTAGCACTGGACATTTCCATGTATGTTACATAATTAACTCCTGCAGCTCTTTATGGACAGGATGAGTAACTTGCTAATAGGCCTAGGATGCTCAGGCTACATTTGCTCAGGTCTTTTCACTTTAAATCTCTGGCTGACTCCTCTATGCTCTAGGACTCTAGGAATCATCATTTACTGGGAGAAGCAGGCCCGAAGCTCCTCTGTCAGAATGCCAGCACACATCCAGTACCCTGAAGCTCAGCTCAGCCCTTTGTTCATCCAGAACACTTGAGCCTCCCCAGGGGGCCGCCATATGAGAACTATATTCATCTCTGAAAAAACTAACCATGTATGTGCTCCAAGTCAGTGCTTTTGGTACCACTTCATTGTATAAGCAGGGAGATATTTTTACTGAAAATATCCTGCTTTACACTTATTTCACACTTTTAAAAATAACCACCAGTACTAGGAATAGCAGCTTCTTGTTAATTCCAAAGAGGGGCTGAAGCTGAGTGCAGGCGGGTGGCCAGTGTAGAGGACAACGGCAGCATTGTTTTCAGATGGGGCAGGGAAGGTGGGATAAATGCAAGGTGAGCATCCGCTGCTGCAGCAGGTCAAAGGAAAGACCTGGCCTGGGTGCAGGGTTGAGAGCAAGCACTTTGGAGCAGACTGGCCTGGATTCAAATCCTGGTTCCTCCACTGATTAGCTCTGGGACATTAGGCAAGTCACTTTGTCCCCCTAAGGCTCAGTTTCCTCATCTGTTAATTGAGGATAGATTAAAATGGTGCCTGTCACTTTAGGAAATGAAATACCACAAAAAAACATGTTTAGCACAATGCTGGGCTCACAGTAAACTACAAGTCTCCTTTGATCTTGGCCTTTTCATCTTAAAACAAGGAGACTGAAATAAACAGTCCCTTTTTTTTTTTTTTTCCCCTAAACTCTGGCGTTCCATCCGTACACGTGTCTGCTTTAAATCAGAAGCTCTGAAAGAGAGGGCAGGGTGTGTTAATTTGTCTTGATAGATACCCAGAGGGTAAAACGTGCCCTTGGGCAGCAAACAAAAGCTCAGCTGAATGTTGTTATAACCCTGACTGGAGTCAGGCTGGACTCAATGGTTACCCAACAGATCTCCTCTTGCCTAAGTGACTCCGGTTTCTAACTCAAAACATTTCAGAACATTCCTGGGTTTGAAACAGCTAACCAAGGGGTAAAGCACGGATGCAAACTCAGGTCTTTATTCCTAATACTAGTGCTTTACCCCTTGGTTAGCTGTTTGCTCATAAGGAAGTTATTTCACTCTTCTGAGCCTCAATTTTCTTCTCTGTAAAATGGGGACAAGGGTCATAACCTCACAGTGTTATGCTGTGGACACATTATCAAGTATGAAACATTATGTCAATGTAGTGCAGCCAATATTTGCTGGGCCCCTACTGCATGCTGGTCACAGCACTAGACTTGGGGGAACAAGTGACAACTATGGTCCCTGAACTCCAGGAACTCAGTCTAGGGGAGGTGGCAGGTGCATGAATGCATCTGGGATCCATCCAATGCCCATGATTTCTAGTCCCTAAAATCAGCATATCAGATCTGAAAATGGGTTTTTCTGGGAGGGAATATCTGCCAAGGCCAAAGTTTCTAAAATCAAGAGTGCAGTGAAAACTGGGCTGTCTGATCACTGTGGTAATACCCTGGTGTGCTAAGTGTCCTGGGGGACAGTAAGGTAGCATGACTAATTCTCTCTAGAGGGAAGGGAGGGGTTAGACAGAGGTGGCACTTCTCTGTTGCACCTTGAAGGATTTATAAGAGTTTAACAGGAAGACCTGGGAGTTGGGAAACCAAGTGACTAGTAGGTCCCTGATGGAGATGAGTCCGTGCAAGGGCTCAGGGGCACAGTTCTACTCCTGGCACCTCATATGGTTCAATCTCCTGCTTCTCTGAGTTCACAATCCAGTGTTGGCTATGTGTATACAACACTCCTACACTCACCCGCCTTTTGTCTCGCATTTAAGAAAGGAGGCCATCATGGAAGGGAATGGCAGTGATTTCATCACAGAGATAACTCGAATGCATTAGAATTCATCCTATTTTTTAGGCAAGGATTCCCAAATGTTGGGACTTGCTCATTACTAGCAGATTTATTGTGACCCATCTCACCACTGAGCTCTCACACAAGGCACTGCCAGCTGGGATTGAGTGCCTAGCTGTGGAAGCTGAATGGGTAGACAGAGCCCAGGAAGAGAGCAGCTGGGGGAGGGCCCTGCCCTCTCCTGGTGCTGGACTAAACTGGGAGGAAAAAACAGATGGTCTCTCTCTGCGGAGCAGTCAGGCCATCCATTCAGCAGGGAATATTCTTATCAGGTCCGTTCAGAGAGCTTGGGGCAGGTTCTAATCCTGGAAGACAAAACACTCTTCTGTGCTCTCACCCAACAGATCCTTTGTTCTCAGGGACATCACTCAGCCAGAAACATCTTTGCAATTAAACACCTTTGCACCTGAGCCTTGGCAGCTTCCAGATCTTTCGTTCAGCAACCTCAGAGCCATGTGCTCTTTTCTTCTTTGTCTGCCCACAGCATGCCCTTCCCCAGGGGACTAAGTGAGCCATGGCTACTTATCTGAAGCTGCACTCACAAGCCTGTTCCCAGCCTTACTGAGACAGTAACAGGCTGGCCCCAGGCCAGGATGGCCTACTGAGAGACTGAGTGAGGAGGCGCAGGCAGTTCCTGGCTTCCCTGGCTCTTCACCTGTGCTTTCTTCTGTCTCTGGTCTGGCCAGACCCGAAGGTATTTTGGTTAGGATGATGCTGTGATGAGGCCCAAATGGCCCTGTCTGTGGTCCTCTACCCCACATATCCTGCTGCTGCTATTAAAAAGGAAGGCTAGAGGGGTCATTCTCTAAGAGGCAAAGGACAGGACAGATACCTGGGTTCTGGGAGGCCTGCTACTGTTTCTCAGCCCACCCAAGGCAGAGCCACACATATGCTAGCCCTCTGGCACAGCGCCTGTCCCAGAGACTGACCAGGGAGGAAAGGACAGTGCCACCACCAGCTGTCACAGCCCGGCTTTCTCAGATTCTAATCTTTAAAGACCAAAAGGAGTGAGCACTTTTAGCTGTTTTCTCTCCTGAGAAAGAGAATACAATCAGTTCAGTTTATTTCTCAATGAGTGAAGAGGGGGCCATAAAATCATAAAATACTGGAACTGTTAGAGGCCTCTCAGATCCCCTAGCATGGCCTTCCTGTAACAGAGCCTGTTGGTGGCAGAGCAGAGATCGATCTTGAGACTTGTAACTTGCAGGATATTGAGGTTCATAGAGGTCAAGTAACTTAGCCAAGGGTACACAGCTAGCAAGTGACTTGGCCAAGGCTCAAACCAAAGTATGTCTTAACTACTCTGGATAATGCACGCTTCTATAGGAAGGCTGGAGGGGAACTGGTGTAAAAAGCACCCCGTGAATGCTTGACTTGGCCCCAGCTGCCACAGGGACCAGACCTTCTATCTCTCCTTCCTGGTGCCACATTCCAAGCAGTTCCTTAAAAAGAGCTCTGGGAACAGAGGTGGTGGATTTGTTATTAGAATGCTCATGGTTCCAATAACACAAAACACTGTCACTACCAACCCACCAACATCATGTTCCCCCTCCCCAGGCCTAGCAGGAACCAACCGAGTTCTCCAGTAGAAACCACAATGTGCACCCAACTCCCAGCAAATGGGCCCAACTGAAATCTAATTTTTAATTTTTATCAAATCTGGACATATCCTCTGGGGTTACTTCTACTTAGGATTTCACTGTATAGCTAAGTCTTTAAACATAGCTAAGTGTGAAGTTCTAATTTCTTTAAATGTTAGCCCTGATTGTATAAATGTCAGTAGACATGACCTGCCCCTGGGACCACATTAGGAGGCTCCCACATTGCTTCACTGACAAGCGTGCACACATGGAAGCCACCCTCTCACAACAGATGGGCTGTGGCTAGGATGGCATGGACAATTTGAACAAGAGTGTTTTCCTAGATGGATTTTCCACCTGTATTTTATTCCACCCTGTAAGGTAGGAAACATGTACCTGATTGTGGTTCCCCAGCACAATGGTATGTTTTAAAACAGAGAAATATATGATGTTGTGGCTCCCATTCTTTCTGGAGGTCAACAAAGCATCAGACCAGGTGAAAAGGTGTCAGCCCATGTGTGGCTGGGTCAGCTCTAGCAGACTGGGCATCCATGCCCAAGCACTGCAGAGAGCTGGAGAAGCGAAGGGTGTGTGTAGTGATGGTGGTGAGTGAGGGTGACTGTACCAATCCTAACTCAGCCTTCAAGGTCACAGAGGCTGAGGGAAAAGCCCACCCAGGTCTCCTGCCTCAAGAGTGTGTGCTGTTTCCACTGTACTCTATTTTTTTTTTCTAAAAGTTTTTGTTAAGATTCCAAATTCAGTACAAACTACATAATCCAGTGATTTCTCAAAGAGCATTATTTGCTAGCTTCTTCCTAAACAAAATCTACTCTAGAAGATGGCCCACCTGGATGAGGGTTCCAGGAGGGCCAGCTCCCTTCTTGCTTCCTCCTCCTCTGGTACCTTGGGGAACTGATCACAAAGAGCCTTCTGAGTGTGATGGAAAGCTCCATTCCTCACGCAGTTTTCCAAAGAGACACTTGGCTAAATGCTCAGGGTATTTAGAGTCATAGGAGATAAACTATCAACTTGTTACTGTTAAAAAATCCTGTGATCTGGCATCTCAATGCCTGAAAATCCCAAGACTGGTACTTGGCAAACTGAAAGAAATATAGACAACCCTAGAGATCAGGCATCTGGAGCCAGCTAACTGGTCTTACAAATGGATTGTTGTGGTGAACTTGTATAGTATTAATCCTGAGATGCTGCCCTCTCACACTCTGCAAAAAAAAAAAAAAAAAAAAAATAGTATTAAGTTAGCCCCATACAGATGCTGGCACCATGCTCCTGGACTTCCCAGCCTCTAGCACTGTGAGCCAAATAAACTTCCTTTCTTTATAAATTACCCAGTCTGTGCTATTCTGTTATAGCAGCAGAAAATGGATTAGGTTCAGTCTTGTAACAAGTAACGAAGTATCTATTTCCAGTGGTTTATACCCACATCAGTGAAAGATGCAGGCAGCAGAGACCTCTTGATGGGAACATTGGAGATGACCTTTCCTACTATCCCTGCATGACGGCTGCCTCAACTTAGGCTCTCCCTGGCATGAATCTGATCAAAGATTATGCTGAAAATAAGCCTGATTGTCCTCATCTTATATCTAAAGATGAGCCTATGGAGCTACAGGGCTGGAACATTTATGTGATCCTTTGTTTTTTTTTTTAAAAAAGGGCCAGGCGTGGTGGCTCACACCTGTAATCCCAGCACTTTGGGAGGCCTAGGCGGGCGGATCATGAGGGCAACAGATCAAGACCATCGTGGCCAACATACTGAAACCCCATCTCTACTAAAATATAAAAATTAGCTGGGCATGGTGGCGCGCATCTGTAGTCGCAGCTACTCAGGAGGCTGAGGCAGGAAAATTGCGTGAACCTGGGAAGCGGACGTTGCAGTGAGCCAAGATCGCGCCATTGTACTCCAACCTGGTGCCTGGTGACAGAGCAAGACTCTGTCTCAAAGAAAAAAATAATAAGTGACTTTTCCCTGATATTTTGCATACAGTAAGTCAAAATATTGTGCATACAGATAAAAATCTTGCTAAGAGATTTTGTTTAAATTATAAATACAATAGTTTATAAAGTTGAAATTAAGTATCTTAGATGGTTTATCTAGAGTAGGGTCCAAATGAACAAAAAAATCCACTGATCTGGCAACATCCCAGACATAATGTGCAGACAGACTACTACAAACTGTCCAGACTTCCTCACAAAGCAGGTTTCCTTTGCCAGGGTTTGGTCTGGATGTGGATTATCATCTGTTGCAGGGTTTCTGTTTCCAGATGGATTTATTATTATTGGTTCTCCAGTTGGAAAGCACAGAATGAAGGTAACAAAGAAGATGCAGCTCAGGATGGTGAAGGATGGAGGGTGAAAGACGGAGGGAGGCACACAGAGCGCTGGGGGACTCATGGAGTGAGCCTGCAACTGGGAAAGCTCCTGTCTGAAAGGAGCCCACAGTTTTGTGGGGACACAGATCCGCAACAGTCCTAATGTGGTGTGATAACTGCAGCACAGAAAGTGGACCTGAGTTCTAATCCCAGATCCTTCACTTTCCAGCTGTGTGATCCTCGGAGCCTTGGCTTTCTCATAGTTGCAGGGGCTTTAGAGGATGAAATGAAAACAGTGTGCAAAGCATCTGCCAGGTGAAAGGCTCTAGATACATGATCATTCTTACTTTATTCCAGTAGAGATAAATATATAAAGCATTTTGAGAACCCTGAGAAAGGATTAAGTAGCTTTCCTGGGGTTGGGGAAGGTGATGAGGAGGGTAAGGGCCTTGCAGTGCTATCAGAACCACTGCCAGTGACAGTCAAGAAATCATGAAGACAAGCCTTGGTGCCAGACAAATGTCCTGCTTTCAGAAAAAGAATGTATAACAGAAATTACATACAACTGGCTTGTGGTCAAGCCCCAGTAAAATTATAGAATAGAGTTCACGAAAGGTTTGTGAGCATTTGGAAGATTAAAAGGTCATCAATGAAAGCCAATGTAGGTTTTTGAAGAAGAAACTGATGATACTGATCCCTTCCTTGGAAAGGATCATAGGACTGCTACCTGTCCAGTATCTGTGGACTGCAGTCATGGGTCTGATAAGTTCTTCCATGATGTGCCTGCAGGACAGCACCAGTCTCTGACAGAGCCATGGTCACTCCCATTAGTGTGCCCGTGTAACCTTGGGGCACTGCCCACCTCTAGTTCAGAAACCTCCCTCACCCAGGAAGCCTTGGGTGCCACTGGCCACTGCCCCCAGGGAGGCCCAGGGCTTCACTCTCACCAGTGCCAGGGAGCCAAGGCAAGCTGCTCACCTCTGCACACAGTGAGACTAACAAAGCCCCTTCTAAACTCTTTAAAATGTCTTTAAAGCCCCTGTTTCTCCTGCCCAACCGCACTGGCAGAAACCTAAGAGTGGCACAATGTTTTCGACAGTGGTCTCTGAAAAGCAGTACTGCAACGTCTGTACTGAGGTCAAACGAGCAGAAACAGGACCTTTTAAAGCCCTTTCTGGGCCCTAAGAGCTCTTGCTTGAGAGGCCTCAGGCTGTATCACATGCACTGAAATGACCTACCTCACACATCTAGTATAATTTTTACTGTAACAATTTGGAGAGGATTTAATAATTTTGCTTTTAAAATTATTTGGCTAACAGTAACTCAATTAATTTATGGTTGGATCTAATTTCCCCGTAAACATCAAGCATGTTCAGGAATTCTTGGGAAGTGGAAAAAATCTAACCTACAAATTGTTTTCAAAAATAACATTTTCATGAAGACAAAATTTAACAATGAATGAACTTGACAAGATGTTACACTTTGTAGAATCTTAATTACATAAAATAAATTTTGATTTTGCAGTTTTCTTTTCATAGTTTGGAGCCAGTAAGTTTTTTTAGGCCTTAAACATTTTCATAAACTCCTGAAACACTCGCTGGCCCCAGGCACCATGCCCATCATTTGAGGACTAAAGCAGCCTGAAAGCAAGCACAAGCAGTTGGACCTTTTCCCTGGAATGATCAGAAATAATATGTGTGATGTCAATTCTGAGGCTCTGCAGAAGCTGAAATGCCTTTGGGACCATACAAGCTATTCCTGTGTTTAGGCTGTTTTGTACTCTGGTTCCCTGAAAAGCCATGATTGGCATAGAATATATATATGTCCATAACCAAAATCATATTTTGCCAAGCCTCTGGATAAATGAGACTAGAAGACCCTTATACAACTGCTCCTCGCCATGACCGCCCCTCACACCCCACCCCACCCACCCAGTGTCTGTTATTCTGCCCTCCCGGGGTGCCCAGTGAGTCCTGATGCTGCCCTGGGTGGGACTCTCACCTAAGCAGGCCACGTGCCATGGCACTCAGATGGATTTATTTGTGGAGGAAATTATAAATCCAATTTCAACAATTAGTCATTTCTCCTGTTAGAAAAATGTTTCAGGGAGTGATGAGAAGACTTTTTGGAGACAGACCATCAGTGAGAGTAACTGAAAATGGCATACAGTTCTCACGAGAAGCAGACTGCATCCTAGTAATATCACAGAGGCCTCTCCCTGGTACCCGTCATGGGAACGATTTCCCAGAACTAAGTAAGAGCCCCCCAGAACATTTCCCACAGGCCACAGGGTCCTCTGGGTGGCCTAAGGCGGTCAAATTCTGACACCTGGGGCTGGACTCAGGGGATAAAGACGACTGTCAGGCTGCTGGTCAGCCACGGAGTCCAGTCCTGCTGTGGGCAGGAAGGACTCTGCTCCTCTCCCCACACCTCAGGCATGGCCAGAGAGAATAAGCATCCCTCTTGCCCACAGAGGCCTCAGTAGTTAGCTCCCAGCCTCAAGGCCAGATATTCACAGAGCCACATTTTTCTAGTAGGAGGGGCACTGCCTGGGAGTTGACGTAGTTTGTGAGCCCATTTCTCCACTAGGGCCTGGACAGGTAAATCAGGCTGATGCTGGTCTGCCCCAGACCCACAGAGAGAAAACTGGCAACAGGAAGTCACGCTTAGGCCTTGCCTAGGTGCTAGCTGTATCTAACTCAGCTTGACCAGAAAGGCCCTGTGTTGGGGGTAGCAAGCACTGAATCAGCCATCAATCAAGTGGGTCCTGGTTTCCTAGGAGGTCGTGATCCTTGTGTGCTTCATCCCTGTCAAGAACCCAAGAGGGGAAGAAGGAAGCACCCAAAGTTGATCACCTCCAACACTTACCAGGGTGTGGCAGTGGGGTCTGGGCTGAGACCTATGTACTTGGTACTCCCACTTGCTGATGTCCCTCCTCTGAAGGCCTCCTGACCCCAGACCCTGTGTGCCTTCCCACCCTTGTTGCTTCTCTAGGGAACCACACAGACTCGGCTCAGCCACGGGGCTGCACTTCTCTTCACGTGGAACATTTGGCCACAGCTCCGCCAAGAATGTAAATGTGGTCTTTATAGAGATGAGGTTGGGGCACTCACTCCACTCTGAGCCCAGGTGCCGCTAAGTTAGTGTTGGCCTGATGCTCTGGGCAGAGCTGGCCTCTCAGAAGGGGCGCCAAGTTAAACATCGCTAGGCACTCTGCACTGGTCCAAAGGGAGCGCTTCGCCCACTGCACATTGAAAACTCAGTTTCATTGACAAAAAAGATTTCCATTCTTCATGTCAATATATCTTTGTGGCCTTCTCCACTGAAATTCTGACTTAAAAATATATGGGAAACATCTACTGGTAAATATCTCACATTTAGTTTTGTATTGAAAAGCAAATATAGTAACATGTATGTGAAGGAGGAATGAGTGTGTAGGGGGGTGAACAACTTCAAAAATGTCAGCTTTCATTTATCAAAGGAAACAGAAAGGGACAATCTTCACAATGCACCTGCCCCAGCTGGCCTCCATGCTGGTCACTCTGGTGTTCACGAGAGCCTCAGAATAGCTATGGTCTCTTCCCTGTTTCATAGAAAAAAATTGAGACTCAATGAGGACCCTGCCCAAAGTCACACTGTGCATAGGTGAAGCCATCAAGATTGGAGCCAAGGGCTCCTGACTCCAAGTATGAAGTCTTTCTCCAGCTCTTGCTTCCTTAGCCAGGTCTTCCTCCGTAAGGCCAGACCCTCACCTGGCCCCCTATGAGGGCACTATTTATACGGAACAGTTATAGATTTTTCACGTATTATTTATGTTACAGTTGTGGATTTCTCATCAAAGTAAGATGTTTTGTCTCTGACATTTTAATGGAGCCACTTGATAATTTTACTGCTGACAATTTTTCAATGTTAGCTCTTTTGCTGACTAATTCTCATTCATCATTTATGTTTCTGACCTTTGCCACTGGTACTTTTAATGTGTGAAAAGGAAATGTGTTTGAATGCAGATCTCATAGAGGTCTACTAAGGGTTCTGAGGGAAATTGTGTTTGAATATGTGTTTTAGATGGAAGCTAATGGGGCCTGAGTATCATATGAAATTCAGTGTACAGACCCAGATGTACATTTTTTTGTAACAGCAGAAAATACTAAACGCTACTACACAATTTGATACCTACTCCATTATTCTAGAAACCCTTAAAATAATTACCACTTTAGCCTTTTTTTAAAAAAAAAAAGAAAAACTTCTTCCACATCATAACAGACACTAGAATGGCTGAAAAATGGGCAAAGAATACCAAAAGGTAAACATAGAAGAAAAAAAATCATTAAAGATTTTAAAAAGTTTCACACCTTAACAAACAAGAACTGTAAATTGTTATTTTTTATTTTTTAGTTAGGTGACTGTCCGGAAAGATTAAAATTAGTTCTAAAGACACAGAGCTAAGTCAGCCTGGGTCCCTTACTCTTGAGTTCACCCTGATTGGGGAAAAAGAAGAGTACATTAGTGTGTGAGCTCTGGACACCTCCTAGGTGCAGACACCTGCTGTGTCCTTTACCTACCAGGTAGTCTTGAGGGGATGCCCTAGTGACCACAGGGTGTGCTTTCCCACCTCTTAAGATGTCAAGAGGGTCCACTGTGGAAATATGTGGCTAGGGCCACAGGAAATGCTCAGTACACACTGGCCATTATTATTATTATTATTTCAGTCATGACTCTTAGAGCAAGGAGTTTATAACATGGGACTCTGGGGATCCATTACCTTCTGAAACTGTATACAAAATTGTGTGAGTCTGTGTATTTTTCTGAATAAAGGGTCGAGAACCATCCCCAAATTCTTAAAGGGACTAGTAGCCCCAAAACATTTACAAACACTTGACTTTTAGAAACAGCCCTTGGTAGAAATCCCAAAGGTAAAGCTGAGATCATTGATGGGACCCACAAAGGCAGCCCCAGCTGGAGCCACGAGGCCAGCTGCCACTCTCCCAGCAGCCTCCACAGCCTCTCCCTACGTGGCGCCTCCTTCAAAGGCAGCCTTTACATCCGACAATTCTGCAACAGTCCTGGCAGCTCTGCAGTAAGAGGTTGCGCTGCTCACTGTCAGTGGGCGTTCTTTTGCAGGCTTCTGCTGGATCTTCCATCACCAGCATTTGTATCAAACAGCCTCTCCTGTGCTGCTGACATGGTAAGGAGCTGGGAGGCCTCCCACGCCCACCGGCGCTCTGCTCCAGCTGCTGGGGACAGACTCCCATTCTCTGCCTCCGTCCCTGGGGCTTCGGCTGAACACAACCAAAACCTTTTTCTTCTTCACAAATGCTCTTTCTGGAGGTCTGGCCTCCCCTTTCCCAGGAAGGATACTGAGGGGGTGGAAGGGGAAAGGCGGGAAGTGGCACTGGCAAAGGAAGCAACTGTTTGTGCCCCATCTGCTATCCAGAGGTGGGGAGCATTGCGTCCTGCTCCGTCTCTTGGAGAAGAGGCCTGACAAAAGGTAAATGGGAGAGAAGTTTCTCCCTGGAAGATGAAGGGAGAAGCCCCCTGGGTTAACTGTCAGCACCCAAACCAATCTTTCTTCTCGAGGCAATACTGGGCAGTGGAACCAAGGAATGGGCAAGACAGTTCCTGCCTTTCCGTCAGGTTCTAGGTGGATGAATGCTCAAACACAAGGCTTCTTCCTGCAAGGTCTCAGGAAGAGTCCACCTGAGATGTCTAACAGAGACCGGAAACCTAAATTTTTCTGGCTTATAACCATTACCTGTGAACTAGTCAAGCCCAAACACCAGCCAGGAAGGAATCTGAGAAATGTGACCTGCACTGGAAAAGCTGAGTATACCTGCCACTGATGGGAACCTCCCTTCAACTCACACAGAAAGAGAAAGGACAGGATTCTACAGGAATTCATGTGGAGAGGAAGTAGTGAGGTCACTTCCTCCCTCGCTGGGCATCAGAGTAGCCCTGCCCTGCCCTGAGCTTCTGCTGCCCAGCACCACATCTGCAGAGGCTGGGACTCAATACGCAGTTGTTGAATAAACATACAAACTGATAGAAAACATACAATGGTACTTTCTTAGCACTTCTCTCCTTAACCAGTCTCAGTATGGGGAATATTTTGAAGAGACTGAAGCAAAATATGATTTTCTTTCTTTCAGAATATGTATTTGAATGGCTAGGCTTTGAAGACCTTCTAAAGGTTCCTTAGATCAATAAGAAAGGCCCCAGCTTGTCCTGATCCTTGGTGACTCAAGTTTGTACCTTCTTGCTGATGTGACCATAAGAAACTGCCTGGGGAAGGCAGAATTGATGGGCAGGGGTGGTGAGGGCTGAAAGACCTGTGGTATAACACCCATTCCTTCTGACTGGGCTGCCCAACCTCAGTGTATTCACAAAGAATCACAGAACCCTTCTGGTCTGTTTCAGAAGAGAGCCATGGATTGGGCTGTATCCTAGATATCATCCTTTAGGTTTATGGGCCTGCAAGGAAGACCTCAGAATGTGTGAGTGCCAATCATCTGGCCCTCCTTGAGCTTCCTTTGAAAAACACACAGATTGAGCTGAAAAGGAACCTGGGCCCCGAAAAAGATGTTTGAAGAGCAGTGAATGAATCCCAGAAACATCCCAAAGTATCTGGCCACATGGCCAAATTCTGGGCATGGCCCAGGCCCCTGTGACTGTGGAAGTTCATTTCATAAAAGCTGTGGCAGTCATCATAAAGGACTGTCATTGGAAGGACAGATGTGGAGTCAGGATTGACGGGGGGCCAACTGCACTTGGCCCCCAGAAAGAGTAATCCAGTGGAACTGAGTTTCCTTGCAGAAGCAAAGCCATCAGAGCGTGCACGGCACTGACCGATATTGCCACGTTTAGTAGGTCCACATCTCTTTTTCCTAATATAATGAACTTGAAAAAAATCACTCCAGCAACTTCCCCCCAAATGATTTTAGTAATCCTGACAACCCTGTATGAGGCAAATATGATCTCCCTTCTACAAGTGGAAGAAACTGAGGGCTTGGAGGAGTGAAGAAGTCTGACAAAGGTCACACTGGGAGGCGGGTGAGAGGAGAGTGAGCCTGGAGTGTGGGCATCCTGACCCCCCAACCCAGGCTCCTGTCTTTATTTATTTATCAAACTCGCAAAACAAAAATTGGTTACTTCAGACTGTGGGCCTGTGGCTCCCAGCTGGAGCCTTACCAAAGGTTGTGCCTGCTTGGGGTGCAGCTGGAGATGTAGCCTGGTGACAGGTAGGTCTGTGATGTGTATGCATGTCTATGTCCCTAGGCCCATGGAGAGACTGCCTGCAGGCCCTGGAGGATGGCCACGACACCAGCTCTATCTACCTGGTAAAGCCGGAGAACACCAACCGTCTCATGCAAGTGTGGTGCGACCAGAGACATGACCCCGGGGGCTGGACCGTCATCCAGAGACGCCTGGATGGCTCTGTTAATTTCTTCAGGAACTGGGAGACATACAAGGTGAGACCCAGCAGGGGCTATCTGTGCTGCCACAAGGTGACTGGCCCAGCCCAAGAGAGGCCTGAGTGACCAGTAGAAGAGTCCATTCAGAGGTACGTGCTGACCAAGTCCAGGCCTGTGCGGCCCCAACAACACACAAACCTGAGGCAAGGATGCAGACAGGGTCGTGGTGCAAACCCACCAGAGGTAGTGAGGACCAGCTCCTCCTCTGCCTGCTACTAGCAACTGCTGCATGACAAGAGTTAGTAGACCAACTACCACAGCCCCACAGGACAGGGTGAGAGTTTAGAAACACTGGTATGGGGGCTGAGGAGTGGGGAGCATTTCTCTCTAAGTGGGGTTTCCATGGAGAAAGACCTGCTCTCAAAGCCTAGAAGGGGCAAGTCCCAAGAGGCTCACAGTCCCTGGGAGAATCCTCCAAAGGGTACGGTAGGGAACTGTGGCAATGCTTAAGTCCTAATTCCAGACCCAACCTCTGGCCTCCCTGGTCCCTAGGGAGTTGAAATGTGCATCTGTGTAGCAGGGAAAGTTGCCAGGACTCAGCCATACATTGTTCTTCTCCCTCCAAACAAAGAGATGGCACTAAGGAAGGCAAGAGTAGCACTGTTTGCTGAGTGCCCACCCCATGCCAGCACCATGCTAAGGGCTTTTGTGCTTGCTTTGTTTAATCTCATAACAACCCCCTGAGGGAGGGTCTGTAAGGACCCAGCTTACAGGTGAAAATGTGGAGTAATTTACTCAGGGTTGCAAAGCTAGGAATTGCCCAGTAGTGACTGCAGCTGAGGCATCTGACACTGACGCTCACAAACTACCTGAAGTCATGATACCTTGAACATGTGGCTCTGCTATGCCCCTTCTTGAGTCTCCTGTCTTGGTTGTCCCCTACCCCACCTCCTGACCAGCCTGTGTCTCTGCTCTCTTCTCCTCTTCCACCTTCATTAGGAGGAGACTTTTTCCTCCTTTCTTAGAGGCAATGCAGTGCAATGATTAAGACTGGGTTCTTGGTTCAAATCCTGGCTCACCCTCAGGCACTCTGTGACCCTGAGCCTCTCTGGGCCTCAATTCATCCATTCTAGGGAGAATAATGATAGTACTTAGTTCTTAGAGTTGACATGAGGATTAATAAAACAACCTATGTGTAGTTCTTATAACAGTGCCAGCATATCATAAGCACTCAATAAATACTAAATAATAATTATATTATTAATGAATCATCTATTCACAAGACTTTAGTGGCCATCACTCAGCTGCTGACCCCAAAACTACATGCAAAAAACAATAGCCACAAAACCACTGGATTTTAGACCTAGAGGGGAGTCCCAGTGGATGGGACACATGTCACAGCTCACACCTGTCTGGTACATTAGAGCTTACATGTGACCCTCACACACAGCCATCTCCAGAGAAGGAGGTGAAGCTCAGTGAAGGTCAGGGATTTGTCTGAGGAATGCTTGCCACGTCCCTACTGAGTGCCAGGCCCTCAACTTGCCACAGCACACGTGTTGCTGCAGCAAGCCTGTGGGGAAGGTAACGTAGCCTCCCCAACATAAGAGTGAGAAATCTGGGGTTCACATGATGCCTGGCATAGAGTAGGCACTCAACATATTTTTGAATAATGTGTGAGTCACAGAGAGATTAAGTGATGGAGTAAGGGTCTGAACCAGGCCTGCTTCATGCTCTGCTTGTTTCCCAGGCCCCTCTATGCAGAGCTGAGGGTCCAACAGCCAGGCCTGCTGGCTGTAGGCACTGCAGGCTCCACATTAACACTCTCCTGGCTTTTCCTCAGCAAGGGTTTGGCAACATTGATGGCGAATACTGGCTGGGCCTGGAGAATATTTACTGGCTGACGAACCAAGGAAACTACAAACTCCTGGTGACCATGGAGGACTGGTCTGGCCGCAAAGTCTTTGCAGAATACGCCAGCTTCCGCCTGGAACCTGAGAGCGAGTATTATAAGCTGCGGCTGGGGCGCTACCATGGCAATGCAGGTGACTCCTTTACATGGCACAATGGCAAGCAGTTCACCACCCTGGACAGAGATCATGATGTCTACACAGGTACGAAAAGTGGAGTCAAACCCAGGTGCAGGGCAGGGAAGAAAGGTCAACCAGAGTCAGAGCCCTTGACTCCAGGGCTGGGAAGTGGGAAGATCCCAGCGTGATGAGCAGCTGGGCCAAGCTGCCTGACCCTGTTCCCACCCGCTGAGGGTCCCTTCTTCTGCCCATAGGTCCTCTTCATAAAGCTAGGTCAGAGTGGCATTTACAAATTTAAAAAAAACGGGGAGGGGTACATAAAGAGGCATACAAATCACACATACCAAAGCCAACTGGGGTCAAGGCAGAAAGGCATGTGCTGGGCTGTGCCTTCACCACCTCTGTCCAAGGCACCTGGTATAGAGCTAATCATCTGTGTAGGCTCTGGGCTCCAGTGCTGGCCCCACCTCCTACCAGCCATGTGTCCTTGGGCATGCTGCTAAATCTCCCTGGGTCTCAGTTTCTGCGTCTGGAAGTAAGGACAAGAACTACCTTGCATGGTAGGGAGAAGGGTAGAGAGAATGTATCTAAAGTGCTTTGTCTAGGATTTGGCACACAGTGAGGGCTCCATACCAGCTGGCTTTATTCATGGTCAGTTACTGCATGTAACGCTAGTGCAGTGCTTGGAGGAAGCTATTAAGAGGAAACTAGATAGGAGAGAGGAAGTGATTTGTCTAAGATCACACGCTTCAAATCTAGGTCTTTGCTAAGAAGTCTTTATTAAATAAAAAACAAGAGAGAAAACAGAAAATTAAAAAAAAACACAGATGTGGTCTGGCCCTGAGTCCAGATATCAGACTCCCACACAGTTAATGCCTCCCAGGGCTGACACCCAGTTTCTTGAGATGAAGGCCTCTGGGCCCTGACAGGCTCCTCCCTAAGGCTGGCACCACGCAACAGCCAGTGCTGCCCCAGGCTCAGGCTGTCCGCTCTCGTAGGCAAATCCAGGCCCCTCTTGCCTCCATTTCCTATGTGATCTTGGTCTGAGGGCTACTCCCTCCCCCTTGAGAAGCAAGCTCTAGGGACTGTCCTATAAATGGCCTACACCTCAGGCAGGCCCTGAAACCTACATACTAAGGTGGAGGGGATCCTCATGCCAGGGCCTTACGGCAGCCACATTCTAAAAGGTAGTTCTCCTAACATCAGGTGACAGGAGGGACATGACCTGTCCATCCCTGCATCACACAGACACCTCTGTCCACCCAGTGACACTGAACTGGCCCTGCCCAAAGGCGCCATGGAGGAGGAACAGGCCCTTGTTCCAAAGCAGTAGGGGCTGCCAAGCTTCTAGAAGAGCAGGGCAGGAGGATGATCCTCTCAGAGCTGGTCAGACCCTGAGACATGGGGGCTGCTACAGCCTTTCTGGAGGGCCACCTCCTTAGGGAGTGGGAAGAGTGTTCTACGAGCCAAAACTCAGATATAGCCAACAACAAAATCAGTGGCTGGCAAGTTCCTTGTCCCTGGAAGTGTGTGGGGCCTCTGCTGGCAAAGAGAAGGCTAGTTATGGTGTGCCCAAGGCTCTCCCTACTATAACAGTTCAACACTGCCACTTGGTCCCTGTGGCTTGGAGTCATGGCCCAGAAGACCCCAGAAAAACTCTGGGAAAACGTAGGCTGCACCTCCCCTCTTGCTTTCTGCCTCAGACTAAGTGCAATCTCCTCACCTCATCCCACAGCCTCGGCCACCTGCTCTGTTGGGCCCTCTAACCCACAATCCCGACTGGAGCACCCCCTCTCCAGAGTATGGGGTTCATCCCCCGGCCTAGTCAGGAAACTGGCAACCCACCCTTCACTAAGAACAATGCTGGCAGATGGTGGCCCCTCTCCTCCTGCCACAGAGTACACTGCCCCTGCATGCCCGCACGCACCTTCCCACAGTTTTTACTGTTGTTCCGAACTGCTTGTCCTTGGCAGCAAAATTCAGCATGATGTGGTAATGCCAAGAGTTTTATGGAAATACCTTTCCTTTGTGAAGTAATACAAAAAATTAGATGGAATACAAGCCAGGGAGGACTTGGAGGAGCATTTCATCTTAAACACGTTTTTTGCCATTCTATAAAGACTCCTGATCCAACAGTTTCAACTCTAAAAATTCCCAAGAAGAAGCTTTTCTCCCTCCCTGCCCACCTCAGGCCATCTCTGTTTCCTATCAGAACACAAGGTGTGGAGTTCCCCTGGGGTCTCCTTTGCAACCAGCCCTAGGCTAAGTGTCAAGTGCACACCCTCATTCAGTCCTCACAGCTGTCCTGTGTGGCAGGCATCATTTTTATTCTCATTTGACAGATGAGAATACAGTGGCTGAGAGAGGTTAAGTCATTTGTCTGAGATCACACAGCTAGTTATTTATAAAGCTGAGCCTTGGCCAGGAGCGGTGGCTCATGCCTGTCATCCCAGCACTTTGGAAGGCCGAGGCGGGTAGATCATGAGGTCAGGAGTTCAAGACTAGCCTGGCCAAGATGGTGAAACCCCATCTCTACTAAAAATTAAAAAAAAAAAATTAGCTAGGCATGCTGGCATGCGCCTGTAGTCCCAGCTACTCGGGAGGCTGAGGCAGAAGAATCGCCTGAACTGAGGAGGTGGAGGTTGCAGTGAGCTAAGATCACACCACTGCACTCCAGCCTGGGTGACAGAGTGAGACTCCGTCTCAAAAAAAAAAAAGGCTGAGCCTCAAAGGCAGGACTGAAGCATGGCCTCTGGCCACCCATGGAGACAGTCTACCCCTCAAGCATTCTTGCTCCAGATGCCTCCCAGAGAGGGTTTTGCTGAAGGCCCCAAGAAAACTATCAACACAGGTAGAATGGCCTCCTCCCAGACACCCTCTCATTGCCTTCTCTCTTGCAGGAAACTGTGCCCATTACCAGAAGGGAGGCTGGTGGTATAATGCCTGTGCCCATTCCAACCTCAATGGCGTCTGGTACCGTGGGGGCCATTATCGGAGCCGCTACCAGGATGGAGTCTACTGGGCTGAGTTCCGAGGAGGCTCTTACTCACTCAAGAAAGTGGTGATGATGATCCGACCCAACCCCAACACCTTCCACTAAGCCAGCTCCCCTTCCTGACTTCTCATGGCCATGGCCAGGAGCCCACCCTGGTCACACTGGCCACAGCACAAAGAGCAACTCCTCACCAGTTCATCTTGAGGCTGGGAGGACAGGGGTGCTGGATTCTGTTTTCCGAAGTCACTGTAGCAGATGAAGGAACTGAATCAATACAGTGTTTTCTGTCCCTCCTACTTTCCTTCACACCATACAGCCCCTCATGTCTCCAGGACAGGACAGGACTACAGACAACTTTCTTTAAATTAAGTCTCTACAATAAAAACACAACTGCAAAATACCTTCATAATATACATGTGTATACATATATATGCATTTAGATATACATCACGTGATATATCTAGATCCATATATAGGTTTGCCTTAGATACCTAAATACACATATACTCAGTTCTCCGATGTTAAAGCTGTCACCAGCAGCTTTGCTCTTAGGGGAAAAGCATTTCATTAGTGTTGTATTACTTGAGTCTACAGACAGATCACAGACTGTGTGGTCTCAATTGAAAGGATCATCCTTGGCATCTGTGTGCCTGGATTGTCCCAGGGTGTCTACAATGCTAATCTCTCACATAGGGGTTCCCAGCTTCTTAAGAACCCCTTTTGGCACCTAATTAAATTTCAAAATCCCTACCCCACCATTTTCATACTTCCCCCATTCTCAGGACTTTTCACCATCCATCACCCACTTATGCCTTCATTAAGTGCCTTCTGTGTGTCAGTCCCTGGCCACTCACTGCAGTTCAAGGCCCCCTTTTCACTCTGCTGTGCTCCTTGCCTACCTACTCCCTGCCTTTTCTGTGGCACAGCCCCTTCTTTCCAGGCAAGATTCCTCAGCTTCTGAGTAGGAAACACTCTGAGCTCCAGGTTTCTGGTTGGGAAGGGAGGGCCAGGCCAAAAGCTCCACCAGCTGCATAAATAATGTACTCGCAGTTTTGTATCTTCCATTCATACTTTAGCCTACATGTCATTTTAGTCTTCACACAAATAATAACCTATCTGGCCAGGAGATAATCGGTTGACAGAAGTCATCAGATCACCAGAGCCCCCAGCTGGCTACAGACCAGAGGTTCACGCTCTCCAGCTGACTAGTCTGCATCTCATCTCCAAACTATACTTTCCTGGAGAACAAGTGCCACAAAAATGAAAATGGGCCACTTCTCATGAGTTGCTGAATCATGAGGGGCCACAGACCCCTCAGTTGATGCACTGCAGTATGGTGGCTTTCTGAGTACTGTTGGCCATGAAGTGTCAGCCTCAGCACTCCCAGGACTATTGCCAAGGAGGGGCAAGGAATGAGTCAAGAAGGTGAGACCCTTCCCATGGGCACGTGGGCCAGGCTGTGTGAGATGTTGGATGTTTGGTACTGTCCATGTCTGGGTGTGTGCCTATTACCTCAGCATTTCTCACAAGTGTACCATGTAGCATGTTTTGTATATATAAAAGGGAGGGTTTTTAAAAAATATATTCCCAGATTATCCTTGTGACATGAATCTGCAATAAAAGCCATCAGTGCTATTTGGATGTATCTACACTATGTGTTACTGTTTTAGAACGCCTTCCTGGAGGCTCCCATATCAGAGTCTCTTTAAGTAAAACCAGGAAGAGATTTGGCACCAGGACACACACCAAAATCATTTAAATCACATTCTCCCTATCTCTGGTTTTCACCTATACCCTCAGAAGTACCATAAAAGTACTTCATGCCAAGACGGCTCTCTGAAGCTCCACTCCCTCACAACCAGCTGGGTCCTGGATATCTCCACAAGATGTCCTCTAAGCACCTCACGGGCAGTGCACTTAACACCTGCCACACCTGTCTTCCAGGTCTGCTCCCTTTCACCAAATGGGACCAGTTACTCCATTGCTCAGATCAAAAACAAGAACTCCTCCCTTCCCCTGCCAAGGACAATCCATCCCTCTAGGCCAAGCCATCTTGCCTGCCTTAGCATAAGATCTCATCTCTTCTCCCTTCAACTACCACAACAGGCTCCAGACCAGGAGCCTCCATCTCTGTCATTCCAATCCAACTTCCACACTAGCCGCCAGAACTGTCTCTTTGTAAAGCAAATCTGTGGGTCGGGGAAGTAATTCTAGGCATAAGAGGAAACCCCAAAACCTAAAGGAAAAGACTAAAAGATACAACTTTTTTCAAAACTCAAATTTTCTGCTTTCCAAAAACAAAACAAAAAACATGACCAAGATTAAAAGGCAAATATCAAACAAGAGAAAAATATTTGAAACATATATAGCAAATAGAGAATATTCATGCTATACTAAAACATTTTTCAAATCAAGAAAGATGCAAATCTTGTAATAGAAAACTTGGCAAAGTATATGTACACATAAGAAGACTCACAAATGGCCAGTAAACAAGATGTCAACCTCAGCAGTAATCAAAGAGGTGCTATAAATGAAGGATAAACCACCATGTGTTGCCTCTCAGATTGGCAAAGATGAAGAAAAAAGCCAATCTCCATGCTGACAAGGGAATGGACAAATGTGTCACTATGGATGGATGTATAAATTGACTCCATATTTTTGAAGAGTAACTTGCCAATGTATATATCAAAATTGTAAATGCACTTATACCCTGGACCCCAGCAATCCTTCTACCTAATGACCAAGTGACACAAGCACATGACAGCTTTTTCTAGGAAAGCTGCAGTTAGAGATGCACTGATATGCACTGAAGCCTACCATGTGCTTAGAAACAAGTGTGTGTGTGTGTGTGTGTGTGTGTGTGTGTGTGTGTGTGTGTGTGTGTGTGTTTTATGTCACCGTCACAGAAGCTCTGTGAAGGAGGGATCATTATTCTCACTTTACAGAAGAGGCAAAAATGACACTTGAAGTCAGACTGCTGGTAAGAATGCGCCGGCAGCAATTAATCCAGAAGGTGCTAGGTGTCAGGCACCAAGTCAGAGTTCTCAACTCCCTTTCTCCTAAGCCCCTAGTCAGTTGTTAGGATCACAGTGGAATCTGAATGGTATTTGAAGAAAATATCTCAATCTTGTCCCAGACCAGTCACCCCTCCACACACACCTGGAGTGGGATGTGTGGGACATAGGGAACAAAGGCAAAGGAAAACAAGGTCCAGCCTTACTGGTCACTGGTCTTGGCTCCAAAATCCCAAACAGAGAGCTCTGGGAAGCCATGCTGGATACTGCAGAGCCACCCTTTTTCTAAACTAGTTAGGATTCAAATGAAAGCAGGCTGTGATACCGGCTACTTCTCCCAAACCCCATCTTAGTACCCAAGCCTGAATCTTAATCAAACCACACCCAGGCTTTATCGGAGAGGAAAGAATAAGCTCATCAGAGATGTGGAGAAAATGAAAGGTGGGGGTCATCAGCTCACTAAGCTGGTGGCATGGAAGAAGAGCATGTGGCAGGAGGCCTCTGTCAAACCACCCTAGCCAGGGTACCTAGTAAATTGCTCTACTTGCCAGCAAAGACAGCCAGTCAGCATCCTAGAGACTGGCCAACCAGACCATCCTCTCCTATCCCATCGTGACCTTTTAAGGCCTACAATCACAGGAGTCCTACTAAGTTCTCCATGGTGGGTGCATTGCATTTGCAGACCCAAAAGGAAGTCGATGAATCCCAGACTTTCTCCTGCCCCAGCCAAACCCCTGTATCCCAGTTTTAGCCAATACCTTGGTCACTTGGGGGGCAAGGGGCACCCAGCTGCTGGACTTGTGTGGGGAACAGGGCCAGAAGACAATGATGTTTTCTGAGCAAGTGACACTGAACAAGACTCCCTTCCCCAAATTTTGCCGATTTGAGCAAGACTAAAAGAGAAACCTTCAAATTACTGAAAACAATGGTAATGGGAGTATACCATGTTCACAGTTCACAGCCACTCTTAGGGGGTTCAAGGTGTCCTCTCTAATCTCCCAAGACCCCCTCATCTGTTTCACACAAACTTTTCAAAACTCTGGTTATAGTAAGAGAAACCCACATGACTAGATTAAGCAAAACAAGGGAAGTTTTTAAGTGTAACAACATGTTTAAGACACTCTTTCTGCCTCAATTTTATCTGAGACTCCAAAGGCTAAAGACAAGATAAAAGCTGTGACATCATCTTTGCAAAGGGCATGGCCTCGCACTGGCTCTCCAGTATTAGTTGATGGCTTCCCTGAAGCTGTGTGAGAAGTACAGAAAGAAGGTCCTTTGGATGGGGGAATCAACTGTCCTTCACATGTTCCTGACACCTTCAGTCAAGTGAGAGGGACTTCAAGGGATCATTCCCACAGCCTGACAAGGGAGGGCATAAGCACTCCTGTCTGACTCAGGGCCAGGGGCACAGAGCAGTGAGAAGAGGGGCCCACGCTGACAGCACAAGGCCAGCCCACTGAGGCACAAATTCAGGCTTCCTAGGATCAGGGGGCTGCCTAGATGGTGAGGGCAGGGACAGGGCAGGAAATACAAGAGCCAGGGAGGGAGTTATAAATTACTGCATCAAAGGACCTGAGTCAGAGGTGCCCAAAGGGAGATTCTGAAGCAGCAGCAGCCAAAAGGGGGAAAGACAGAGCTGGGTTGCTTGCACAAGCATCTGGCATACCCACAGGGTACAAGCTCTGAGTTACCAACAGCTATGAAAGATGGGCCCTTCTCTCTTACTTCTTCCTGCCCTGTTCCCAAGGGCCAGAAACCTCAGTGAAGTTTGGGGAGGCAATGGAACTGGCAGGGATCCAGCAAAGAAGCTGACTGTGTGTTGGCCAGGTGCTGTGGCTCACACCTCCCAGAACTTTGGGAGGCTGAGGTCGGACGACTGCTTGAGCCCAGGAGTTTGAAACAAGCCCAGGCAACATGGTGAAACCCCCATCTCTACGGAAAGAAAAAAAAAAAAAAAAAAACTTGGCATGGTGGCATGCAACTGTGGTCCTAGCTACTCAAGAAGCTGAGGTGGGAGGCAAAGGCTGCAGTGAGCCAAGATCATGCCACTGCACTCCAGGTGGGAAAAAAAAAAAAAAAAAAGAGAGAGAGAGAGACCCTGTCTCAAAACAAACAAGTTGACCATGTGTCTTCCCCCAATCCAGGCCTCCACAGCTGGTCAGCTTTAAGAGTCCAGACTTGCAATTACTACACTGGACTGTCTGGAATGAGGGACTATTGGGCTGTTTCATGCCTAACACCTGAAAGACCAAGGGACCTGCTAAGTTTTCAGCTTTGACTGGGAAAAGAAAAGTCCACAGAGTAGGCTCAAAAGGACACTGGGGGAAAAATGAGGTTGGTTTCTTCTTACACCTGATTGAGTCCAACTCATTTAATAAGCTGGTTACATAAGGACACGAGGTATCTCCCCAAGTCCACGGGCAGGGACACAGCTGAGCCTTACAAGGGCCAAGAACCAGAAAT